AAGGGTGCAAATTGCTTTAGATTCAGCTAGAGGGCTTGAATACATCCATGAACACACTGTTCCTGTCTACATTCACCGTGATATTAAGTCTGCAAATATTTTAATAGACAAGAACTTTCGTGCTAAGGTTATTGAATATATTTCTATATAGCAAGCACTAATGGATTCAGATGCTTTACAAACTAATTGGGTGTATATATTGGTGCTCAGGTCGCTGATTTTGGGCTGACAAAACTATCTGAATTTGGAAACTCTTCATTGCAAACACGTCTTGTGGGTACTTTCGGATACATGCCACCAGAGTAAGTATGAAAACATGCATACAAACATACTTATATAGTATCATTTTTTGGCTTTCGTGCTTGTGAAACTGGTTTGTCTCAATGTGGCATTGTCTGTAGGTATGCTCAGTATGGTGAAGTTTCCCCAAAGGTAGATGTGTATGCTTTTGGAGTTGTTCTCTTCGAACTAATATCTGCCAGGGAAGCTGTCGTCAAGACCAATGAAGAAGTGACTGAATCGATGGGACTTGTTGCTTTGGTATACACAATTATCAGTTGTCTTTCCCTACTAAAGTTACTAGCACTAAATTCCAGTCCCCCATGATCCTGTTTCGATGAATTCATTTTGATGTATACGCAGTTTGAAGATGTTCTCAATCAACCTGATCCAAGAGAAGATCTGCAAAAACTTGTTGACCGTAGGATAGGCGATGACTACTCATTCGATGCAGTCTGCAAGGTATAATTCTGATGCCGGTAGGCAAATGATAGTATGGACTCATTTTCTCTATCAATCTAACAAGCTGTCACGTCCCTTTTTGGTTACCAGATGGCACGTCTTGCCAGAGCCTGCACGCAGGAAAATCCCCAGCTGAGGCCAAGCATGAGATCCATCGTTGTTGCACTCATGACACTGTCATCTTCAAGCGACGATTGGGATGTTGGCTCCTTGTGTGAAAACAAAGCTCTAATCAACCTGATGTCAGGAAGGTAGCTTAGCCACCGCAGAGTTAACCGGTTATACCTTGATAGAAGTACCCTTTTTCTCGTTTAGATCCCTCTTGACATCTGTGAATACTTGAATCCAAGTACTGTACAGTACCTTCAGTTCACTTATTCCTATTCCTTTTTCCTTGAGAAAAATTTTTGGGTCTGCTGGAATCTATGTATTCGCTGAGGAATGATTGAAAAAGAGGCCAGCAAATCTTTGTATAATTATGGCTACACACACATACACTCCATTTTCTCTACGTTTTGAAGAGGAACTTTAGGTTGGAAAGAATGGTAGTTGAGCTAAACGATAGATTGTACACTTCCCGGTTCTGTCTGTGCATCATTAATTCATGTTCTTGAGAGAGAAAATCCAACCATACAAACTTA